TCAGAGGCCTGCTATTTCAGAAGTGGGTGGCCAATCCTTCTTCCTAGTCTGTCTTAATGTGAATGTTCACATTTAGAGGAGTATCTGACAGACAGCAATTTGTGGAGCAGTTAAAGATAAATCCCTTATCTCTGCAAATTTCATATGAACACAATTAAGTGTTCTGGGATTCCCACACTACTCAATGTTATCCATAAGTTGTTTTAATCAACACAATCCATGCAATTTTACTCCAATGAAACCTTGACTACCATTCTTCCTGTCCTGGAAAGGTTTACCACCATCAGATCCTATTGCTCATTCACTTCCCGCATCACCTCCCTCCTCTGCAACATATCTTAAATCACAAAATCCTTTCAACCCACCTTTGTCACCTCACATAGTATCTTTCTTTCTTTTTTAAATTTAATTTTATTTTGTTGTTGCTGTGTGCCATCGAGTCAGCTTCAACTGGCAAAGGAGGAGTTAGATTGCCCCTCCTTCTCCAGCGGAGCATCTGATGGATTTGAACTACAAGCCTTCGTGATTGTAGCGCAGCTTTTTGCCACTAGGCCACCAGAGCTCTAGTATCTTTCTTTGAACTCAGAGATCCACACCCTGATATGTATCCTGACGGCAGCCTTGCTTGTCCCCATGGTTTGCTCTCCTTTCCCTGTCTCATTTTACCTTGAATCTCAGCATAAATTCAGTTTTCTTAAAATATATTCTGATCATGGGATTTTCCCATCAAAACTCTGATGTTTTTCTAATGGTTCAGGACAAGGACTGCACTAGCACAAAAGACTCTGTGCTCTGGTCTAAAATTATTTTCAGTTCTTTCTGTTCTCTCACACAAACTCTGCACTCTGGTCAAACAACCCAGAGACCTATTTCCCATATAGCCAGTTACTCAATACAGCTCCTGCCCAACCAACCAACCAACCAACCAACTAACCAACCAATAAATATCCTCCCTTTCCCCTCTGCCTTGTTAAAAATAAGCCCTTGTTTAAAGACAATGGTTCTGCTTTCTTGTGACACCTTCCCTGACCAGCCCAGACACCTTCCCTGACCAGCCCAGCTGTCTTGCCCCTCAACACTTCATTCACATCATAACTACACTCTCACTAGAACCTGGGCATATATAATAATATCTTTCGATGTCCTCTCTCATTTTAATAATTTGAAAACAAGGCCTGTCTTAGAATGACTTACATATAGAAAGCACAACATTTTGTCCACAACTAGCTTAAATACTTCCTTGAGAATATTATGAATGTTAAGCAATGATTCTTTTTAGGGGGTGCTCACAAATTAACCAAGAATGCTAAAAAAAAAAAAAGAATGCTCACAACATAGCCAATATTTTATAGCTAAGCATCACACATATATACACATACACTGGAGGTGGGGAAAGAGAAACAAAGAATATGACTTCAAAGAGTTTCCAAATTACAAACATGGTCTACTCCAGGGGTGCCCACCAATACACAATAGGTCAGTCTGGCTGAAAGAATGCCTGATCCATGGGTGCTGAAGAGAGTAGTATTGCCAAAGGACCCAGAAAGGTCTGAGTTCCAGAAAGAAATAATTTAGGTCACACAAAAGACTAAATTTAGTTGCTTCCTGAATGTGTTTTTGCAGTCAACAGACCTATTACAATAACATGGCTACACCTACTTAGCCACCATCACAGTTGGCAGAGTATTTTCCAAGAGATTAAGTATGACCAATTGAGGAAAAATACCTTTAGGGAGCTTTGGTGGCCTAGTGGTTAAGAAGCTGTGCTGTGATCCCAAAGGCAGAGAGTTTGAATACACTATCTGCTCGAAGGGAGAAGGATGGGCAATCTCCTCCCATGTGATTTACTACTTCTGAAAACCCACTGGAGGGTCATCTATGGGTCAGTTCTGACTTGACAGTACATAAAAAAATAGCATGTAGTTAACATGTAGGACACCAGAATAAACTACCAGTCAGGATCTTAAAGCCCAAGCTAATCATCAAATGAGTAATAAATATGCTATCATCCTTTCTTAATCTTCTGGAGCCTATGGCATGAATAATACAAAGCTAGATTGGTGAGTAGGGTCTCTGGGTGGTACAAATGGTTAATAGGTTCGGCCTCAGAAGAAAGACTTGGTAAACCTACTTAAAATACCCAATCACTGAACATTCTATGAAGCACAGTTCTACTCTGACACATGTTGCCTTGAGCTGGCATTCATTCTTTGGCAACTGGGTTAGACTGGGAAGCTATCCAGGCAATTCCCCTAAAATTGTTGAATTAAGTCCATCTATTTCTGTGGAAATACTAAAGAGAAACTATTATAATCTATTCTGCCCCTAAATTGCCCTTCTCTTCATATAGTTTAGTCGTCTTCTTTATTCACACTCAGAACTGGACAGGAGCTACAGTGAGTAAGATTTGTAAGCGCTCTCACGTCTATGGGCCTCAATGTCCTAATCTGTAAAATGAGACAATCATACTAAGTGACTCAGTGACCTAAAACCAACATTTTATGATCTGAGGCTATTTCTCCAAATACCTAGTTTATTCTAATCCTAACAAGTGGCAGATAGATAAAGCTGAAAAAGTGTCACCAACTCTGAATATCACTCAGTAAAAACTTGGTGTGGGGCCTGTGCCTTGATGCAGGGGCAGAGACAAAAGCCACCAACAGAAGCTGCTCATCAAGATAAGAACTTACTCATTCTATTTCCAGCATAGACGCTATTTGGCAAAAAGCTTCCTTTCTACTCTTATCACTGTTGAGAACAAAGAGAAAAATCAGTTGCATGAGGCTTCTGGGCTTTTTGTGCCCTTCACTGTCACGCAACTGCAAGCTAATCCCTCCTCACCAAAAAGCTGTCATATCTCAGTTCCTGGACAAATAAACACAAGTAGTTGATTGTGTCTGCTGATGGCAGCTCTGGAAAGAGTTTCTTATGTGAAAAGAAGACTTGTGTCATAAATAGAGGGGCAAAGACAAGCTGTGGAGGTGGAATGTGTAGAAGAGAAAAACTTTCACTTCTCCCTTTGTCTACCATAGCACCTGTTTTCTCAGGCTCTTAGATCTGAGGATCCTTCCTAAGTATTACTATCTTATCCTTTTAGCTATCTGACTCCAAAGCGGACTACAATCTTCTCAAACCCTGGAATTCCAGCAGCGTACAAAGTTTCAGGGAAGTCATATACTGCACACTCCAAAAATCTCAAGACCACCTGGACTACAGATACAGAGCTGCCAGTAGGACAGCAGCTTATCTTGCAATTGAGGATGGCAGAAAAGGGAGGATGAGCTTTGGTGGCCGGTGGCCAAGATGATGAGCTGCTACCCCAAAGGTAGGAGATTTGAATGCACCGGCTGCTTGCAAGATACAGACAGACAATCTCCTCCTCTGAGATTTATAACCTCTGAAAACTTGCTGGAGGGTCAGCTATGAGTCGGTCCTGACTCAACAGCACACAACTACAATTAACAGCAGCAGCAAATAGTGGACAGAGTTTTGGTTTAGGAGGCTGACTGTTGCCTTTGAAAAGCTTAAAACTTGTTTGCTTTAAAAAAATCAAAACAAAAAATCCTGGCCATTTAAATTAAGACTGATCCTGAGGCAGGCTGTTTGCCTTCATTACACAGCTGATAATCAAAGGGGTTCAGCAAGTCATAATGACTATCAACACCCTGTAGGAATTTATACAGAGACATGCCTGCCAGAGTCAGTTTCATAAAAGACTGGGATAATTTAGTAGTTTTTTTTTCAGCCTGACATTTTTTGACTATTTTTTTTCATACAAGCTTCTGTACTCAGCAAAAGCAAATAGAATAGAGCCCTATTGCTGTCTACACAAAGCTATGTCTGACTTTCCTCCAAATGCCATTTACACTGTCTTGATCGTTTTGCTACAACCACTACCAGAAGACAAGATTTATATTCCCTTAATTCCAAACTTGAAGCCAAAGCAAAAACAAGTCTACCAGGTTCCTTCTTTACTTACTGAAATAGTTGCTTCTCCTTAAACTTTTAAGATCATATAATAGCAACTATTTACAAACTGTGTTCTAAGAATGTCTGTTAATAATGTGGATCTGGGGTAAAGAGATGGGGGGCAAAGACAAAGGAGACCACTTCTCTCATGGTTCTTACCTATTTAACATGCCAAGGACTTAGGTGCTTATGATTTTATTTAAAAAGATTCTGTTGCTGAAAAAAGAAACATAAAAATCATTGAGACAGGCGAGCTCTGGTGGCCTAGTGGCAAAAAGCTGCACTGCAATCCCAGAGATGAGTGGTTCGAATCCACCAGATGATCTTCTGGAGAAGGAGGGACAGTCTCCTCCTGTATCAGTCAGATCCGATTTGACGGTACACACATACAAAAATAATAAAATAAAATAAAAAATCACTGAGATAATAAAACCAGACTACCATATCCAGTGACTTTCACAACCAGCTCTGCCACATGAGAATTTTAGCTAGCCAATTCTTACAGAGTAGGGCTAGTAGAAGACTTGGACAGTGTAGAACACAAATGTAATTTATGGAAATCTTAATTATAGCCAATGGTCTAAAAACACAATTGTCAACTGTCTGATTTACTTTGAAATGCCTATATTTATTTAGTAAGGCAACTTAAACCCAACTGGGGGGCATGAAAGAAAGGACCTGAAGGGTCACAAGCTGAAAACTCTAAGAAGAAATCTTAAAATTCATGGAGTTATTATTGTGAGTTGGAGAGGATTCAAGGGCAACTGGTTTTTGGTACTGGTTATGGCTGAATCATTAATCACAGCATACTAAACAACAGATCAGATCTTGTCGGATGCTGGATGTAGATTAACACATAAAGAAATTAGTCCTTCCACAGCTGTAGATACTATATTGTCTGGAGTTCCCAAAAGGCAGTGATAATTAGCCAAATAACAAGTCACTTAATCACTAGTCTAAAACGAGGACTCAGAACCTATATCCTTCTGTTTCAAAAATAACAGTGGAACATGGGACTGGGTGCAACTCACCAGTGCAAAACTCCTTGCTGACATTGTGGGGCACTGTGATCCTTCGGTAGACAATGGGCTCCGACTCCAGGATATTCTCATCATGGCGGTAGCGAGCTGGCCTTTCATTTGGGATGCCCCGGGAACGGGTACCACTTCTTCTCTCATAGGTGTCAATTTCCTCAAAAACAGCTGCCTTGTCAAAAAGGGCCAGGTTCCCTTCAAAATCAAAATCCGTGTCTGGGATTTCCTCAATATCATCCCCAAAGCATTCATCATCTTTATTCTTCATTTGACCATTCTTTAAGCCACTTTTCTTTGGAGTTGCCTGATTTGGGTGTCGGCTACTAGATGACCCTGGAAAGAAACAGGGATTAAAGTCACAAAGTGCTCAATGAAGTGGAAAATACAGTATGCTAGTAACTGAGGCAATAGATGTAGGTGTGTTGGAATCAGTGAGATTGGCTCAGGACAGGGCAGGCCTCAGAGCTGCTGGACAAGGGGCTTGCTGTGAGTCATAGGCAACTCACCTTTTGTAGAGACTGTCATAGAAATACAAGTGAAGATGGTAATGATAAGTGATTCTCAAATCTATTAAGTACAGAGACTATCCTAAGTCTTATATTATTAAGTAATTACTTAATTAACATAACATAAGCAGTGCCCTTTAAGTCTTAACAAGCTCTGCCCTTCAGAAGGTACTGTGGTGATAAGGGAAGCTTTCTGAACAAAGAAACATCAAAAAAGTAGGACAAGAATATAGCAGTCCCTTCCCACAGGAACCCTGGTTAAGGACTGGGCTGCTAAGAAAAAAGGTCAGCAATTCAAACCTCCCAGTTTCTCTAAGAGAGAAGGATGAGCAGACTCCTCCAGTTGAAACATACAACCCTGGTGGTTTGATTCTGAATGTCCGGCAACTTATTACGAGAGAAATATCCCCAAGTAAAAGAAAGTCAAGTCCCCATAACCTGAAGACCATGAAAAGGTACTATTAAATTTGCTCTTAAATTCATGCTTACCCAACAAGCAGCCTTTTTATTTTTATTTGGTTTCAGGCTAGACTCCAGCACTTGGAAATTCCAAGTTTAGACAACAAATTAACAAATTCTAAGCTATGATTCTTATTATTACGTAGTCGTTCTAGTAAATCCTAGTCTCTATGATGTTAATGTAACATTAGGAGTTACAATACAAGTTAACACTGAGGAGTATTGATTTCAGTTTGAGGACAAAGGAACATCTGATTCAGGCCATAGTCTTTCCAATCACTTGCTATGAATCTGAGAGCTAGTCAATGAATAAGGAGTACAGAAGAATTATCCATGGATGGCCAAATGAATAAAAAGTGGAGAAAGTGTAGCCAGAACGCTCCTTGGAGGCAAAAGATGATAAAGCCTCACATACTTCGGGCATGTTGCTAGGAGGGGCTATTCTTTAGAGAGAGACAAGACAGAAGATTGGCAAAAGACAGGAAGACTTTCAATGTGGTGGACTGACACAATGGGCTCTAGTGTGTCAGGAAGTGTGCAGCTGGTACAGGATAAAACAGGGTTCAGATCTGTTGTTCACAGGTTGGTATATACATGACTCAATGGTGCCTAACAACAACATGATGTTAACAAGGCATTGAGATCAGAGGCACTTCTAGTAATGTTACCATCTCTTGAGGTGATAAACCAATCTGCTTCAAGAGGATAAGGGTGGAATGGAACATCCTTAATTAGGTCATAGTCCTAAACTAGCCAGCATCGACTTTTGGCCTTATAAAAGATAATGGGAGAAAAAAAGCAAGTTGAAACTCAGGAGCAGTCAACAGAAATGACTACTTACTCTTTGAAACCTTCATCTCTTGGAATGTTCTTTATTTTCCTCTTAAACCTTTCTGACCACTCTTACTCCTGCCCAACTGTGAAATAGCGCCCTTTTCTGTGTTTGGAATTTAATTTTTTAAAAAAATTTATTATTTTGTGTATGTGTGTACCAACAAATCTAATCTAACTGGTACAGGAGGAGATTGACCCCCCCCCCCTTCTCCAGCAAAGCAACTGATGGATTCGAACTAGAATTTAATTTTTTCCATTCTGTTTTACTCCTTTTGTAATATGTTTATATGGCCTACTCCCATAATTTAAAATTCTCTCTATAATGGCCAGTGACTTCCAAATTTGCATTCTTAGACAGGACCTTCAGGCATCTGATCCAGATATCCAAACGATTCTTTAGAGGATTCTCACAAAAATCTTAAATTCGAAGAACCAATGCCTTTCATTGCTGTGTTGTATAAGAGTAGTGGATATATACCATGGACACCAAAATAACAAACAGATTTGTCTTGGAGAAGGTGTAGCCAGAGTGCTCCTCAAAGGCAAGGATGGCAAGGCTCACATACGTTGGGCATGTTGTTAGGAAATGTTATTTCTTAGGCAGGGACAACATGCTTGGAAAGGGGAGAGGGTCACTGAAAAAGAGTAAAACCCTTTACTATATGGATTGACACAGTGACTGCAACAATGGACTCAAGTATGGCAGAGATGATGAAGATGGCACAGGATGGGATTTGGTGTCATAGTGTCACTATGAGTTATACTCAAGGCAATGGTACATAGCAGCAACAGTAGCCATCCATTGTATCCATCTTCCACATGCCTCAAGACGCTTTTCAAAAAACAAATAGTGTACACCAATATTCACAGCAGTTTTATTCACAAAAAAATGGAAACAGCTCAAATGTCCATCAAAAAACATGGACTGACAAGGAAAAGCAGAAAGTCTAAAACATAAACCAAAAGGAAATAATGACATCACAGGTCAGCAACACAAGACAGTATCAAATAATTGAGAGAAAAGTAGGCTAACATGCTCAGTTGTTTCTTATTCTCATAGTTTAATACACATATTGGGAAGAGCTGGGTGAATCAGACACCTCAGCGTTTGGTTTACTCATCCCAAAGGGCCTGGCTCTGTCTATGGATTAAACTGGACTTTGGCCACTGGAAGAGAAAAGGACTTCCCTTGCAAAAGATAAACAATGCTTCCTAGATTTCTTTACTGTTCAATCACAAGGGCCAGACTTGTAATTATGTTAAGACTGGAGGCTGGCCGCCTTCCTGTGCCATTTTGCTGCCAGTGTTTGGCACAGAAAGCCTTTGGCTAGGACATCCTGTAACAAATGCATTGTTGTGTAACCTTTAGTGCCACTTATTTATTGGTTTTTGTCACACACATATTGTAGAAGGGAATGCCCAGCACTTAGCACGCTAAGGGGCACCTGAAGGTCAAACAAAAATGTTTTAGTGCCAGATTCCATGGGCTTCACAAGAAGGTTATCTGAGACCACCTTCTTACACCTTAAATTCCAGGACCTGGTAATGAGTCAACCTGCTGGATTCCCGTAGCAGTACTGGGGTTTCAAGTCTGTTTTACATGAAAGGGAAGCTAAGAAGTCAGTAAGATCTCACCTCAGTTGTTGCTAAATTTTATGGAACAGTCTTTGACTAGAATGCTAATTTGAATAGAACAGATCCACAGGATTTTCTGGGCTGTATTCTTTCCATAAACAGTCAGCCATTTATTTTTACCATGGAGCTGTGAGGGAGGCTTTAACTATCACCTTATTCAGTTAGGAGCTGAGTATTTTGCCACTTGCAATTTCCTAAAACTTCATTTGGATAATGAAAACTGTAAATATTAGCTCCTGACCACATATGGTGTGATCAATGTTAGACTAAACTGACCATTAATGCTCAACCATACAAGATAACACCCTACACCTTTCAAATGAAAAGTTCCATTCCCAAAACAACTCTGAAGTATCATCTCACCCCAGTAAGAATAGCACAATATAACAGAACGGCAAACATCAAAAGCTGGCAAAGTTGTGGAGAAACTGGAATCCTTATTCACTGTTGGTGGGAGTGTAAAATGGTGCAACCACTACGGAAGCCTGTATGTTGCTTTCTCAAAAAGTTGTCAATAGAAATATCATTTGACCCAGCAATTCCACTACTGGGAATTTACCCTAAAGAAACCATAACCACCATCCAAGTAGATATATGCACACCCATGTTTATTGTGGCTTTGTTCGCAATAGCAAAGAGCTGGAAACAGCCCAAGTGCCCATTAACAAACAAATGAATGGATAGAGCAGATCTGGTATATTCACACAATGGAATATTATGCAGCATTGAAAAACAAGGAACTTATGAAATATTATGCAAAATGGATGACCCTGTAGGACATTATGCTGAATGAAATATCTCAGTCATAAAAGGACAAATATTGTATGGGGCCACCATTGTAAAACAGGACTGACATCAGGGTTGAGAGAAGACAGAGAAGGAGGGGGATGAATGATGTATACTGCATTGAAACAGATAAGGGAGAGAACTGCTTAAAAGGAATGTATGATTGGGTATTATTGTCATTACAGAAGTCCAGAATGAAGGTTGCATAGTGGAGTGGACTTGGGGGGAGGGAGTGCATAACAATGAAAGAGTTTTTCTTTTACTTTTCAAGAAGAGTGAATTGGAGATGAGGGGGTGGGGAGAAAAGTGCAACAATGAATGACTGGAAACCATAAGTCTCTGTAAACTTTCATTAACATAAAGAAAAAAAACCTATGGAGGTTAAAAAAAAAGGTTCAATTCCATTTCCTTATTTCCTCCTATACTTCCATAAATAAAACAAAGATTAGTATCAGGTCAATAGAATTATCTCTGCCTATGGTGGACAGTATTTGGTGGAGCTTCCCAACTAAAACAAGCTTGGAAGCACTTTATGAACAGTGCTCAGGTCTTTCATTCATAGGGCCACTATAAGTCATCTACGACTTGATGGCACTTAACAACAATAACAACAACATAGAATGAGCTACCCTGGCCTAGTGGACAGAAAGTTATGCTACCAAGCCCATGGTGGGTGATTTTAATCTGTGGCTCTCAGGACTGGTTTAAGTTGTTTTTTGTCAAACATTCTTCTAAATGGTATAGCACTGGTCTGTGCCTTGCTGTACAGAGGTAACTAATGGTTGCTGTGATGCTAAACACTGTGACACTGATGTGCCAAATGTGATAATGGTTACCCATGGTGGACAGTGTTTGGTGGAACTTCCCGATTAAAACAAGCTTGGAAGCAGGAGTGGCATCCACTTCTGAAATGGCTTGCCTCCAGAAACTCTATGAACAGTGCCCTGGTCTTTTGTTCAGAGGGTCACTATGAGTCATCTACGACTTGACAGCACTTAACAATAAAAACAACAACATATAAAACAGGGAGCTCTGGTAACCTAGTGGGAAAAAACTGCAATCCCAAAGGCATGTAGCTCAAATCCACCAGTGGCTCCATGGGAGAAGGATGCA